CCCTCTATCAGAATCCAGAGTTTCAAGAAGATTGGAGAAACTTATTTTTTCGCACAAAAAAAAAACGAAAGGGGTACCACTGTCGTTTTTTTTTTCGGGACGAAATTTTGAGTTGCTCTGATCTTCTTGAAACTCTGGATTCTGATAGAGGGCCATGGGACTTAGACCTGAGTGCAAAAATGGACGCTCTAGATCCTTCCAGAGCTGAGATATTGAAATCGCACGTAGCATTTATGCCATTATAAATATCTCAATATCTCAGCTCTAGAAGGGTCTAGAGACTCCTTTTTTGCACTCGGGTCTAAGTCCCATGGCCCTCTATCAGAATCCAGAGTTTCAAGAAGATTGGAGAAACTTATTTTTTCACACAAAAAAAAAAAAAAAAAACGAAAGGGGTACCACTGTCGTTTTTTTTTTTCGGGTCGAAATTTTGAATTGCTCTGATCTTCTTGAAACTCTGGATTCTGATAGAGGGCCATGGGACTTAGACCTGAGTGCAAAAAAGGAGCCTCTAGACCCTTCCAGAGCTGAGATATTTATAATGGCATGAATGCTACGTGGGATCTCAATATCTCAGCTCTGGAAGGGTCTAGAGCCTCCATTTTTGCACTCAGGTCTAAGTCCCATGGCCCTCTATCAGAATCCAGAGTTTCAAGATGATCACAGCAACTAAAAATTTCGACCCAAAAAAAAAAAAAAAAAAAAAAGGACAGTGGTACCCCTTTCGTTTTTTTTTTTTTTTTTTGTGCAAAAAAATAAGTTACTCCAAGCTTCTTGAAACTCTGGATTCTGATAGAGGGCCATGGGACTTAGACCTGAGTGCAAAAATGGAGTCTCTAGACTCTTCCAGAGCTGCGATATTGAGATATTTATAATGGCATAAATGCTACGTGCGATTTTAATATCTCAGCTCTGGAAGGGTCTAGAGCCTCCATTTTTGCACTCAGGTCTAATTCCCATGGCCCTCTATCAGAATCCAGAGTTTCAAGAAGATTGGAGAAACGTATTTTTTCGCATTTAAAAAAAACGAAAGGGGTACCACTGTCGTTTTTTTTTGGGGGGGGGGGGTCGAAATTTTTAGTTGCTCTGATTTTCTTGAAACTCTGGACTCTGATAGAGGGCCATGGGACTTAGACCCGAGTGCAAAAATGGAGGCTCTAGACCCTTCCAGAGCTGAGATATTGAGATCCCACGTAGCATTTAATGCCATTATAAATATCTCAGATCTGTAAGGGTCTAGAGCAGCCTTTCTCAAAGTGGGTGCCGCGGCACACTGGGGTGCCCCCTAGCTGTGTCAGGGGTGCCGCCAAAAAATTACGTAGGCTTAAAAAACAGAAAAAAAAACAGCTGACATTTCATATATAAATATATTGGAATTTACATATTTACGTTCTTCTTTTTAAACATATGAACATATTAATAAAATTGTAAATTCATTTTAGATAAATATATAAAATTAATCATAAAAAAAATCCGTCTCACAAGACCGAAGCAAGACGCACACAATTTGACGCAAGTGACGCAATCCATAGCAACGCGTTATAGCAACACCTCAGACTGACAGAAACGTAAAAATAAATGTGAATTTTGGCCACTTTAGTTACAGCATTATGGATCGTTTTTTGAAAAGAAAATCCCAATAAGAGCCGGGGATTTTTATTTTATTTTATCTGCATCCTGCACTTCATTTGAGTTCTCCTGGTCTGGATTTGTTATTGGGTTCTTGTATTGGGCGGTCCACCTCTTACGGTTTTATGGCATTTGTGTCTCTGATTAATTATTTTGTGAATTACTTTGCAAACCTGTGTTTTTAAAGGTGCTATAAAGTTTTTATTATTATTGTTATTTACAGTTCATATTATGCTCTGTTCATTACTGTTCTGTCTAACTAAACAAGACATTTGCATTTAAATTTGGGTTATGCAGTGTTTTTAAATTATATTTTACACTGGGGTGCCTTGAGATTTTATGCACTTTTGAAAGGTGCCCTGACTGAAAAAAGTTTGAGAAAGGCTGGTCTAGAGCCTCCATTTTTTGCACTAAGGTCTAAGTCCCATGGCCCTCTATCAGATGGCAGATTTTCAAGAAGATTGGAGAAACTTATTTTTTTACACACAAAAAAAAAACGAAAGGGGTACCACTGTCGTTTTTTTTTTTTCGGGACGAAATTTTGAGTTGCTCTGATCTTATTGAAACTCTGGATTCTGATAGAGGGCCATGGGACTTAGACCTGAGTGCAAAAATGGACGCTCTAGATCCTTCCAGAGCTGAGATATTAAAATCGCACGTAGCATTTATGCCATTATAAATATCTCAATATCTCAGCTCTGGAAGGGTCTAGAGACTCCTTTTTTGCACTCAGGTCTAAGTCCCATGGCCCTCTATCAGAATCCAGAGTTTCAAGAAGATTGGAGAAACTTAATTTTTCGCCCAAAAATGAAAAAAAAAAAAAACGAAAGGGGTAACTGTCGTTTTTTTTTTTCGGGGTCGAAATTTTTAGTTGCTGTGATCTTCTTGAAACTCTGGATTCTGATAGAGGGCCATGGGACTTAGACCTGAGTGCAAAAATGGAGTCTCTAGACCCTTCCAGAGCTGAGATATTGAGATATTTATAATGGCATAAATGCTGCGTGTGATCTCAATATATCAGCTCTGGACGGGTCTAGAGCCTCCATTTTTGCACTCAGGTCTAAGTCCCATGGCCCTCTATCAGAATCCAGAGTTTCAAGAAGATCACAGCAACTAAAAATTTCGACCCCAAAAAAAAAAAAACGACAGTGGTACCCCTTTCGTTTTTTTTTTTTTTTTTTTTGTGCGAAAAAATAAGTTTCTCCAATCTTCTTGAAACTCTGGATTCTGATAGAGGGCCATGGGACTTAGAACTGAGTGCAATAATTGAGTCTCTAGACCCTTCCAGAGCTGAGATATTGAGATATTTATAATGGCATGAAAGCTACGTGGGATCTCAATAACTCATTCGCCTTATTCACCTGTCGGCCATTTGGAAAACGGAACGCCGCTGAGGGGTACACTCACCCGGAAGTATGCATGCAACGCAGCAGCACCAGCAATGAAAA